CATGTCGGCGTAGCAGCGAGCTTGACGCGCCGCCGAGTAGGCGACCTCGAACGCTCTATCAAAGTCGAGGAAGCAGTAGGGCGAGAAGATCCAGGGGGCCATACAGGCGTCCGAGGCCCGGAGGCCGGCAATCGAAATCTCAAGAGTCGTCAGCTGGGTGTGCTGGAGCATAGCACCAAAGTTGTTGGGGGCACTCACCGCGGCGCTGGGGGCCGCAAAGGCTCCCGGTAGCGTGATGCTGGGTGCGTCGAGCGCGAGAGCCGCCGTGGAGAGACCAAGAACGAGCTGTTCGTTGAGCCAGTTGGCGAAGAATGCGTGGGCGCCCGTGACGTTAAAGTTGGCCCAGTAATAGTCGTTGGCGAGGTCGACTTGGGAGACTTCAAAGTACAAGACGCTGCTGACAGTTGCAAAAACCGCGTGGCAAAAAGCGAAGCAAGCTTTGATGCGACCCCAGTGCTTCGATGTCAGGCGGCATCTCGCAACAGCCACCGCCGTTGCCTGTACGGAAGGACCCGTGACCTTATCTGTCGTCGCAACATTAATGATGTGGGCACTGATGGTTGTCGGGCTAAAGTCCTTGCGACGGCGCGCTCTCTGGGTCATAGTATTATCGGCCACAAAGTGCCAAAGCGTTAAGTTGAAGACGTACGACTCGGATTTGAACCACACGGGCACCAGACCGCAGAGGACGCACGTCACAAGATCGAACGTGGCGCCGCTTGGGTTCAAAGCCATCGGCATGGCAAACAAAGCCGTTGCACTTGAAAAGTGCAAACTCGGCTCCGCGCCCGAATCCACTGGCCGTCGCCGACACCACATTAGACTCGCTACGACCGTGATGACGACGACACCGACGTGGATGCCCAGTAGCGTCAGCAGTCGGTCGTAGCTGCCCACAGAGATGACACCGCTCGCGCAGAGAAGGCCATAGTCCATATCATTACCGACACACTGTCGGTCGAGCGTAATGGTGAGCGGCACAGGCGCTGTCATATCCAAAACAAGCAGACTCAGCCAGACGACACACGCGCTCCACGGACTGTAGTGAGCAGTCACCTCTCTCGGCAGTAGCACGATGAGCACTTCGTTGACGACGTAGGTTACCCACGTGGCTTCGCCAGCGACGAGCATCGCGTGGCCGATGGAGCGGGGATTGGGCGCCAAGGTGGTGCCCAAGAGCGTCGCTTCCAAGCTCACTTGGGCCGAGCTAAGGAGCAAAAGCGCGCTGATACCGCGGAGAACGACCAGTGGTCGGCCGATCCAGACGGCGCCAACCAACCGGTTGAACCGAAAGAGGTTGAGGCCATGGACATGACCGCGGGCAAAGAAGAGTACGTACAGTATCGTGAGCAAGCCCACAAAGAGAAGGAGGCCTGTTGTGACTTGCACTAGGTAGAGAATCGCAGTTGTCGCCGTCTCGAACGAAGCGTTGCTCGTGATGTACGGCTGACCCGCGTATGCGTTGGAGATGACAGTGACAGAGCCGACGTCGCCCTCGATCGAGAGCACTTCGCGGAGTCCGGCGGCCCACTTGAACAAGATGTGATGGCCAAAGAATAGCCAGTCGAGCAACGGTACATGATCGAGCGCAATATGACTCGAGTTGGGTGTGGCAGCAAACTGAACAAGACTGACGTTCATGGCTCGGACAGCGTCCAAAGCGTCTCGCTGCATCGATAGCATCTCGGGCGGGATGGGCATCGATGCAAGCAGCGACGACGCCGACGACAAGGCATCGAGACACAAGGACGGTGTCAACGTCGTCCTGCACATGTCTGGTATGGTCGTGCCTGACGAGACCAG